CCCCAAAACCCCAAAACCCCAAAACCCCATAGCTCAAGTGAGGATTAAATATTATAAGAAATAGTCAGATAAATGGAAACAGCCAACATAGAAAAATCTAAGTCGAACAATCGTGATCCGAAGAAGCACAGAACTGAAGCTAAACTCATCATTGTTAAAAGTAAGCAGGCATTTGGAGGAATTATTTTGGCACTTTTGGAGTGATACTATTGATGGCATAGGAAAAGCAAGCATTAAAGATGGACAAAGAAATAAAATAGCTGAAGACCCGAGAAAATAAAAATAATACGTAAGAAACCCAAGGCTCCTCCTTGGTTCTTTTATATACCTCTTAATAGCATTGGTCAGAGGACTTTTTAATTTTTCGTTCAAGATTTTATTAAAGGATTTTGTTTGTTTTTAACCACTAATTCATATAGTTCAACTGTGAGTTGTTCTTCATCTATGAACAACATGATGCCTTACTCTAAATTCAAATCAAATATTGAAAACACAATCTTGAGAGATAAAGACAAGATTCCACTAGCAAAGCAGTAGGTTCATCTTTTATATTTTAGGAAAGGATTGACCAACACTGCTCCCAAAAATAAAAGGTATTATTAGATTGTACTTTAAAACCTTGAATTCAATTTTAGATTGAGGAGACTTAACTGATAACTTTAGATACAACAATACAATGATGGAAGAGCGAAGTATCCCAGCTTCTCATTTTGAAAGCAAAAATAAAGCTATTCTTGAAAGACTTGGAAGTTGCTCGTCTTATGAAGGAAAAGGCAAAGTTAATGTAAGGAAATTTTAATATATACTTCAGAAATCTGTTGAACGAAATGCCGAATCTACCCCTACAAATAAAACTAAAATTGAAGATATTCGAGCGATGCTTAGGGTAAAATTTGGAGCTGGTTCAGGCATTCAACAATCACCTGGAATTCTTGCTTACCCAAAAGCGAAAGAAAATGATAATTTTGAAGAAATAAAACTGACCAAAGATACAAACAGAAGAAAGCAGAGAGCAGGATTTGTTATCAAAAGCACTGGTATTATTTCTTACAACTCTAGATAAACTTAAGAAGAAGTTAGATGGCAATATCTACAACTATGAGGACTTCTCATCAGTTCTATGTATTCTTAATCATTATTTTTAGCGAAGTCCTATATTGAACAATACACGAAGACATACAATGAGGATTATGGTGATATATCTCCTACTAAATAGACCTACTTATAGTCATGTACTTACCCTCACTTTGTTATTTCTGTTCGACCACTTGCTAATATTTGTATAGAAATCTATTGACCATATTTCAGAGAAGAAATATCCCCGATACACAAATAAGCAAAACAGGAAGGGCTCACAAAAAGACGTAAGGATTTTCATTATCGCCTAGTTTAAATATATCAACAAAAGCAAGATCATTTCTGTAAGTTTTCTTTACCATAGAAACCAAGATATGGTCAGAAATAATAATATTTTAGAATAATCTCTCAGGATCCAATAAAGAAGCAGCTGAGCTTCTCAGAATCTACTCTGACCATCCTAGTACATCTAGATTTCTGATTTATAGAGCATCCTCATGAGCGTAACAGTGACTCCATTCTTCCTCAGATAGATTGCACTCGAAAACTCAATAGATTTAGTGAGAAAAGTAGCAATAAAGATACTTATTACTGAACAGGAGACACCATCAACGAAGTTCCTGAGAATAAAATTGAGAAAGCTAGTTCTCTTCTGAAGTCATCTCAAGAAGGACTTCTTGAAGGCCAAAACAGGAGATACATGAAAGGGACTAGAAACGACAATCCATACTACAGAAGTATAGCTATGCCAATAATTTTAGATAACTCTAACGGGACAATGGAGACTCTGCAATCTAGTAGTAACTTCATGTATATCCAAAGTCTTCATGATAAATCAGAAAAGTAACTTAGATTCCTAATTGTAGAAAACCTGTGGTTTATTTCAATGAGAACACAGATGCAAGAAAAAGATCTGTACGACCAATATATCTCAAATTTAGGGCTCTATAATTTTAAGCGAGCAATCTGTTAAGAATGATAGATTGAGCGATATATCAGCAAGTTCACCTCAAAAGCTGAGATTGTCTGAATCAAATTGAGGTATTTCATGAATAATGATTTGTCATAGCACAACAAATTAAAGGAAGTCATCGAAACAATTTATCTATCACTGCTAAAGGTCTCAATGTGTAATAGAATTTCTTTCATTGGTATAGTAAGCATAGTAAGGGAAAACTTTACCCGAACATTATCTCAAAGAACCTCAAAAGAGAAATGAATCAAAATTCTCATCAATCTAGTGTGAATGGTTTAAAAGATATCTGAATGAGGACTGATAAGAAAGTAGGAAAGCTTCAGTATCCAATCTTTTTTCAGCAAGATTCAACTCTTTTAAATTCTCATTCATTATCAAAAAGTCCGATAAAGAGACCGTCACTGAAAAAGCTAGAAGTTATTCCCCATCCCAAATCGATTCTGACCTTGATTTCGAGTGAAGAGTCAAAGGATATATTTTCTAAAAATGATATCGAAGAGAAGCCTTCAAATGATCAATTATCAACAGAAGTACCTGATACCTTGATTGGATCGCCCACCAACAACAGCGAGTTCTTTAGAATTATAAACTTACCTCTTTATGGGAATTCTTGAAAAATACACTGTAATATTAAGTTCTTTAAAGATCAGCCGACTTTACAAAGTCTTTGATCAATGATCCCAAATCAACCTGCTCCAAAGAAAGACACAAAGAGTGACTTCATGAAGAACCTCAATGGAGTAGACACTGGGTATACAGCAGATGATCCGTATGAGCCTGAAACTTGTGGGTATGCCTTAGAAAGCATCTTCGAAGGGAGGCCCTCTACTTTGTTTTTCCAATATCTACCCCAATGAGGTAAAATCAGAGATATATACAGGGCTAAATAAATGTGCAAAAACAAGCAGAGTTTATTACAAGATCACAGATAATTGTAATCACTACATCCCTGTTACTAATGTGCTTTGAAAAGCTGGGGTAACCATGACTGACGAAGATGATTTTGACCTATTTCTCACAGCTCCCCGTATGAAAAAGGATGAGATTAAGAAGGTGAAAAAGGGAATGAAATGAAATCATTTCCCTGGCAACAACTTTCTGGGACGTAAAGATCTTCTATGGAAATGACTACAAGCAAAGTTGAAAGTTTATCCAACCTCATACAACATTGTCCCAAAATCTTGGATAATACCACAAGATTATAAAGAATTTCTGAAAGAAAGAGAGGTATTTAGTGTAAATTTAACTAATATAGAATTCTCCAGATCCAAACTCTCTGTGGATTTCAAAGCCAATAGATTCTGCATGAGGAAAAGGGATTTCCTTAATGACCAAAACCTCGTATTGATCCAAAAAAGTGTAAATTTCACACATAAATCCTCTAGGGGTACCATAATTTCAAGATATATCAGCGAGCCTCACTTGATTGATGGGTTTAAATATGACCTGAGGCTATACGTTCTGGTCATAAGTTATGATCCACTAAAAATATACTTTTACAATGAAGGCCTGGTGAGATTTACTACTATAAAATACGATCTAAGCGAAGAAAATCTTGATAAATAGTATGATTCATTTGACAAATTATACCCTAAATAAGGATGGAGAAAACTTTGTCCACAACGAGGAAGCCGATGAGGATGGAGTCGGCAGTAAGTGGAGCTTAAGCGCTCTCAAGAGGAAATTCACAATGCTTGAACTAGACTATGATGCTCTCATGGTTAAAATTAAAGATCTTATAGTCAAAACTATCATCTCAGTCCAATCCCATGTCATTGCAAGAATGAAAGAGTAATGACAAAATTATTAAATATATAGGCTGGAATGACCAAATGACTCCTTCTTTGAAGTCTATGGGTTCGATGTTATGATGGATAGCAATTTGAAGCCCTGGATATTAGAAGTGAACACCAATCCTTCTCTCAGTGACTCCTCTCCTCTTGATAGAATGCTTAAGACTTCTCTAGTTTGAGATATGTACAATATTGTTGGATTCAAAGTACAAAAAGAAGGTTATACTCCTGAAAATCTTCAGAAAGGAAAATTACTGACTAAATAAAAGTAAGATTCCTACAATAAATATGTGTTCAGATAGCTTATCCAAGAATAAGAAATACAAGATAGCAAAGAAGTTTGAAGCAAATAGTGATAAAAACAATACCAGAAGGAACAAAAGTATTGAAAACTCATCATGCAATAAAAAGTCGGTTTCTAAGCAAAATAAAAAGAAGAAAGAAGATCTCATCCTGAACACTATAGAAGAGGACTACCGAAAGGGAGATTTTGAGAAGTTGTTCCCTCTTGCAACTAACGTGGATAAATACAAGAAATTTTTCTCTGGAAAAGCTACTTCAAATGATAAATTACTCTGGAAGTGGCTTAAAGACCCAAGCACAATGCCCACAGATCATATTAAAGTGCAGCATACCAGTGCAGTGTAGCTTTGCAAGCTGCATAAATTAAGTTTGATCAATATGACTATAATCTTATGGGGTTTTGGGGTTTTGGGGTTTTGGGGTTTTGGGGTTTTGGGGTTTTGGGG